AGTTATTTGACATGAATGAATATTGGGTAGACATCTTGGTAATACTACTACAAATTATGTTTAGTAGTGTATTGCTGATGGTTGTGTAGGTTGGCTTTATAGGCATTGTGCTACTGACAGTCTCTGAACCTTTAGTTCACGTTTAATTTTAACCTCAACTGCTTCATTATGTATTAGAAGAAGTAGCCACATGGGGTTCATTAAAATCTGTTGCTGTCAAGTTGTTTCCAACTCATGGCAATCCCATATGTTTTGGGATACAAACCTGTTCCAAAGGATTTTCTTGGCTGTAATCTTTACAGAAGCAGTTAGACATGCCTTCTGTGGAGCTCCTGGGTGGGTTCAAACTGCCGTCCTTTTGATTGTCAGCCAATTACAGACTGCTCTCTAGACGTGGCATAGTGCTGTCTAAGAAACCAGAGTTCTCCTATTGTTCTTTCAAGTTTCCTAAAAAATTTTAATTATGTGATTATTTAATCTAAAATAAAATGTATCTTATGGGATGGAAAATTTGATACCTGTTTAGTTTGATTATTTCCAAATTTCTTTAAAAATAGGTATTTTTCATATTCATGACTTGCTTTGTTGGTGACTTCTCTTTCAGGAAAGATCTTCCTATTTGGAGTATCAGAAAGTAATGAGAGAAATAGAACATTTGAGTCGTTTATATATTGCTTATCAGTTTTTGCTGGCTGAAGATACCAAAGAACGCTCAGCTGAGGAGTTAAAAGAAATGCAGGATAACATTGTAAAGCTTCAAGAAGAATTGTCTGAGAATGACAAAAAAATAAAAGCACTTAATCATGAAATAGAAGAATTAGAAAAAAGAAAAGACAAGGTAGGAACATAAGACAGACAGAATATACTTCACTGTGAAAAAACATGTTAATCTATGTTACATGTAATAACCATTCAGGATTCACTCTGTTTTCCTTATTGATGGGTTAACTTTAGGATAATTAAGTAGCTTTTAAAAAGTGTAAATATTTCACACAAAATCACGTAAGAAATTAACATCAACAAATGTTTAGTAATGTGACTGAACTGGACACATATACTTGTAGGAGATTGGTGGTGTGCTCCGCTCTCTGGAAGATGCTCTTGCAGAGGCTCAGCGAGTTAATACTAAATCCCAGAGTGCCTTTGATCTCAAGAAGAAAAACCTGGGAAGTGAAGTAAACAAACGCAAAGAGCTGGAAAACAATATGGTGGAGGTAAGCAAATACGCAGTTTAATTAGCACTAGATCTTACTTATCTGTTCAGTTAATGTTTATGGAGTATCTAAGATACAGCAGTGAGTAACAAAATGGACAAAACTCCCTACCTGTGTGTCTTCTGCAGGGATATGATAATATAGAAAATGAATTAGTAAAATTTATACTATATTATTATATATTGATAATGTATATAATATTTGTTGTGCAGAAAAATAAATCTGAAGAGGTGAATAAGAAGGACAGAGATCGAGAATAGCTTCAAATAGGATATCCATCAAAGGCCTTAATTGAGAAGGTACTATTTGAATAAGATCTGAAGGAGATCAGAGAGTGACCCATGTAGGTAAACTGGGGAATGAGAGCAGTTTTCCAGACAGAGCAGCCTTTGCCTTCAGTGTCTATGCCTTACCCTCCCTGCCCCCCCCCCCAAAAAAAAAAACAACCGACTGCCATCAGGCCAATTCCAGTTCGTAGCGAACCTTACAGGGTTTCCAAGGCTACATCTTTATGGAAGCAGATGGCCTCATCTTTTTCCCATGGAGTAGTTGGTGGGTTTGAACTCCTGACCTTTTGGTTAGCAGCCAAATGCCTTACAACAGAGCTTCTTTGAGTGTCTATAGTATTGGAGAAACAAAGACCTCATTGTGTGTGGTGAGCACTGAAAGAAGAATAATAGTGTAAGAACACTGAGAGAAGGAACACAGAGAGGTAGCAGTGCAGAATCATACAGCTTTGTAAGACATGAAGGACTTGGAGCTTTGTTCTAAGTGACATGGAAAGCCACTAGAGTTGATTGAGCAGAGAAGTAAAACATTTTTTATGTTTTGACAGGATTATTCTTATTTTAACAATAAACTGAAGGGTCAAGAGAAGGAGAGAATTTACCTAAGAGACTCTAGTCCAGATCACAGCCCTTGGGTAAAGGTAGAAGTGAGAGTAGTGAAATACTGTGGAATTTTATATGCATTTTAAGGGTCAGGCCAACAGGATAGGCTCACTGTTGTTGGGTATTAGAGAAAGAAGTCAAGAATAACTTCAAGATTTTTGGCTTTGACAATTAGGATAGAGTTACCATTAGCTGAGATGGCAAAGAGGAAGAACAGGGTTGGATGGGGGAAATGAGAAGTACAATGTGAACATAATTGGCTTGACATGCCTGAGTCTAGATGTTTATTAGTTAATTGAATTTATGAATATCCAGTCTGTGTTAGAAAATTTGTGGGTTATCAATGTGTATCCGTGTTTGAATACTTTAAGAGAGAAATCCATGAGACTGAATAAGATTACCAGGGGTGTGAGTGTGTACAAGAGAAGAACTCAAAGGTTTGAGTGTTGGAGTAAGTCAACATAAAGATTAAGGATCTTGAGGAAGAGCTACCTAAAAGATTGTAAAGGAGCAGTCAGTACAGTATGAAGTAAGGACACTAGTAAGGTGTCCTGAAGGCCATGTGAAGGAAGTGTTTCAAGAAGTGGCCATGACAGCCTGACTAGAGATTGTTCAAGACAGAAGAAGGAGAAAAATTTGACAGTGAGTACAGGTTTTCCCCCAGTATCTGAAAGTAGAGCATTCCTGTGAAACTTTTAATAAGCCGAAATGGCGTAAAGCGAAGCAGCAATCACCATTAATTATATGGGGAAGACTGGACAATCCAGTTCTATAGAGATACTGCCTTGGAAATGGTGGGGGGGTCGCTGTGAGTGGAATTGACTTGCTGTTATTTTGATATTTAGTTTCTTCAAGTGGTTTGTTTAAATCTGCAGCCATTTTTAAATTCATTGTCTCCCAGATTCAGCGATAGCATATGGAGAGAAATTATTTCTGATGGGATAAGTGTCCACGTTTATCCCAAAAACTGAGACAGACTGAAGTTCAAATTAGAAATTGTGTGATTTAAAGTTGTAAGAAATAAATTATTCTTATAATCACGCCCCCTTCAAATTGCCATGAAATCTGATGACCTAAGGGTGAGTATGTGTGTAAGAAATTAGATGATTGTCCCACCAAGTAATACTTTCCTATTGAAACTTTTCCTAAAGGACTCTAAAACTTTAGCAGCAAAGGAAAAAGAGGTGAGAAAGATCACAGATGGCCTGCAGGCCCTTCGGGAGGCGAGCAGCAAGGATGCCGAAGCCCTGGCCGCCGCCCAGCAGCACTTCAATGCCGTGTCCGCCGGCCTGTCCAGCAGTGAAGACGGGGCAGAGGCAACCCTCGCGGGTCAGATGATGGCCTGCAAGAATGACATCAGTAAGGCCCAGACGGAGGCCAAGCAGGTAAAGATGGACGCTGAGCTCTTCACCATTGCGTTGGTGCTCAGAGCTGTTCCATAGCCTTTGTTGGCAACTATTGGATACCAGGGTTGAAATGAGTAGTTGAGAGTCAAAGAACTTGTTAAAGTAAACAAAAATAAAGTAATTCTTCATAGCACCTGAGAACAGCAAAAAACAAAAGAAATTCAGATATGTCCATTGCTAAATATTGATGATGTTAGTTTACCAAATACTTTCATGGTTTAATAGAATTTTTAAGTACAGTTAAATACTTTGTTCTGTTTCCAATATTATGTGGAAAATTAGAGTTTAGTCATTTTATTCTCATCTTGTTCACTATTTTTATTGACTTTTATTAACATCATAAAATTGGGAGTCCGAAACTCTTAACAGGAAAACTTTGTTTCTCTGCCTTGCATGCCTAGTTCTTAAAATCTTATTTTTGAAACTGTATAACATGTTTCTAGGAAGCATTCCTCCTCCTTTTTGCCTAGGTTCCGGTCTTCATCTCCCTATTCTTACTTCATAATCTTGTGGTATCACATCTATTTTAGTAGTTCTCACATTTATTTATGTATTACTACAAGTGAGAATACTATTAATACAAGAATTTTGTTGGAGGGGAAATATATAAATATGTGTGTGTGTGTGTATACACACCCTTTAATAGTTTATGTATATATTTTAAGTAATGCACGTACTTATATATACACCCACATTTTTTTGTTTGTTTTTAATACTCAACTTCAAAAATACATTCAAACAAATATACTTGTATGTTTCCTTATTAATCTTACTCAGGATTTTCTGTTCATGGATATTTGCTACTTTTTCACTCAGATGATGATCACCAAAAATCAGTAGTAGAATATCTTGACGATTCTGTTTTTCTGTTAACTTATATTTTATGGAAACTAGGAAAAGGCTACTATTTTTTTCCATTTTAGAGATACCTTGATCTAGGTCTTGTATTACTAGTTCATCATTTGAAAGAGAAGCAGTGTTTAATTATATAAACTTCAGACTCCTGAAGTTTCAGGAATCCTATATATTAAATACAATTGTATACAAATACAGTTTCCTTCTGCATCCATATGGAGGATTGATTCCAGAACCCCCCCCACCCCCCACCACCCTGCTCCACCCTACCCCACGGATATCAGAATCCACAGATGCTTCAGTCCTTTACATAAAATAAGGTGGTATTTCCATATAGTCTATGCACTTCCTCCTGTGTACTTTAAATAAATCATCTGTCCAAAAATCAAACCAAACCACTGCCATGCAGTTGATTTCAGCTCAATAATGACCCTCTGGGACAGAGTGGAACTGCCCCATAGGGTTTCCAAGGCTATGCATCTTTCTGGAAGCAGAGTGCCTCATCTTTCTCCCGTGCAGGGGATTGTGGGTTCAGATTGCTGGACTTTGGGTTATGCGTTAGCCCCATGCCACTATGATACAATGTTTACATTGTTACAGTAATGTGTTGTGTAATAACACTTCACACTCCGTCTTACCCTTTGAGGGATTGCTTTGACCACTTAATTGTTTATGTTTTTTCCAGCATGTGGCTGGTTGAATCCACGAATGTGGTCCACAGGGCTAACTGTATGTGTACCCAAATTGAAAAGAAGGGAACCGGAGTTGGGATTTCCAGCTTTCCATTGTATGTTTAATTTAGCTTATAACAGTTATTCTTTGATACAATGTTTGAACTCAATTAATGAGGTGTTTTATAAATGTTAGAAACATGGACTTATTTTTCTTTTTAATGATTGATTTTAAATCCATTTAATTTATATCTCGAGTATTTTTTGAGATGAAAATCCTGGGCAGTGATTGATCTTTTGAAATACTAATCCTGGAAGTAGTCACCTTTTCAAGGCTGATGTCGCCTTGCTAAATCCACCCAAATCTCTAGCCATTTAATCACTACTACTATCTGCCTCACTTAGTTTGCTCTATTTTTCTATCTCAGGCCCAGATGAAGTTGAAACATGCCCAACAAGAATTAAAGGCTAAACAGGCCGAAGTTAAAAAGATGGATAGTGGTTACAGGAAAGATCAAGAAGCATTAGAGGCTGTGAAGAAACTTAAAGAAAAACTTGAAGCTGAAATGAAAAAGCTAAATTATGAAGGTTTGCCTTTAAAGATACAGTATCAAATCATTAGGAAGTGGTGATTCTGATAGAGATTAACTTAAATGAAACCGATAAGTAGGAAAAAAATTAACACTATTCATGATTATTAGTATAAGAAGTGTTTATATAGTCACAAAAAAATACCCTACTGTAGTATAGCCCTTTGAATTTTTGAGAAATCTGTACTGAGAATTTCCTGCTTTAATCATTCTGAAGTGCTACTTAAAAACTCAAAATTGTCCTTTGTGTATTTTCACATTAGTAAGCATTCGATTTGTATGTCATTTCTTATAATGAAAATTGTGTTGTTTGTTGGAAATAATGTTTACTTGACATATGATAGGAACCTGAATTTAAGCATTTTTATTTGATACCAGAAATTTATGTTTGCTTCTAGGAGTGCTTTGAAAATAGAGTTTATTAATATTTTCCTTAAAACAGAATATTTGAGTTTATATAAGTAGGTTTCAATTTATTTTTATTCGTTGTTCAGAAAACAGGGAAGAAGGCCTTTTGGAAAAGCGCAGGCAGCTGTCTCGTGATATCAGTAGACTGAAGGAAACATACGAAGCTCTCTTGGCCAGGTTTCCCAATCTTCGATTTGCATACAAGTACGGGTTGTTTTGTTTTTATAGTGTGTCATTGTCTTTTCATTGAAGGTTTATTTAGCAGTTAGGTTCCCATTTAATATTCTGCACAATTTGTTGAGTGACATGGGTGGTTACATCCTCAGGTTCATTGGCATGAACGTTCTCAGTATTTCTGTTCTGATTTCATTACAGTTAAGAGACTTAAAGGGTACATTTTAACATATTAATAACCAAGGTGTATTTGTTTACTTGGAGTCTCTGAGCAGTACAGACAGTTACTGTGGTTAGCTGTTAACTGAAATGTTGGATTTCCAAGTCCACCCAGAGGCTCCTGGGAAGAACGGTCTGGGATCTACTTCTGAAAAGTCACCTGTTGAAAACTCTAAGGAGAGTGTTTCTTTGACACACATGATGCCGTGAGTCAGTCAGCTCGGTGACAACTGGTTTTGTTTTTCTCATTTAAGCTAGAAAATGATCACAAAATTTGCTTAACACCAAAATTTTCATATAAAAATTTTCCTTAATTGGTATTTTTCTTTAAACATTTATCAGAACGCTTCAGGTGTTAGGAGCAGAGAAATATCTTGTGAAATCTAATGGCTACTGATGCCATTAGTCTTATAATGAAACCCATATGAAGGGAACAGAATCTAAGTTCAAAGTTTCTATAAATGTATTATCATTAATGTTAAATATCTGTGTTAAATTTTATAATTTGTTTTGTCTCATGTTTTCTTAATAGAACAATTAATTCCAGTAACCATATATTACAAAGTTTAAAACATCAACATTGTTTTTGTTACATATATATTCTATACTGAAGGTATTTTTGCTTGATTTAAAAATACATAGCTCACCATCTAGGGCAATTTTACATTTTCTGTTTGTTGAAGCATTATGTTAAAGCTGTAATTTTTCTGTTTTCTAATCTAGGATTAATCTTCTATTTTTTAGGGACCCAGAGAAGAACTGGAACAGGAACTGTGTGAAAGGGCTTGTAGCTTCTCTAATCAGTGTCAGAGACCCTTCTACAACCACAGCTTTAGAATTGGTGGCTGGGGAACGACTCTACAACGTTGTGGTCGACACAGAGGTAAATTGATTTTAATTAAAGAAAATTTTAAATTGGCCATTTAACTTGAAAAATTATGTGCTGCTGCAAGAATTAAATACTTACTTGATGTTTTCAGCTTCTCCTAAGGTCACTTATCTTTTCTAGTAAAACTTTTTTCAGTTAATGAGTTTTTGATGATTGTGTTCCAGAGATAATCTCGTGTTGACTCAGGAACCCAGAATAAATATTATTGATCTTAGAATTTTGTTTGTTCAGGATAGAAGGCTCTAAATGTTCATTGATCATAGATTCTTAAATTAGCACTATTTCCTTTTGAATGTTTTATATTACCTTTAATGTTTATTTCATTTTATTGTTTCAAATGCATAATATTTTAGGTGACTGGTAAAAAGCTACTAGAGAAGGGGGAGTTAAAGCGTCGATATACCATAATTCCACTCAATAAAATTTCAGCCAGAAGTATTGCTCCAGAAACCCTGAGAGTGGCTCAGAATCTTGTAAGTCTTATTTGTATGTTTACTCTTACCTTTTTTGAGAATCATTATTAAAAGACATTAATGAGACTTTTGGGGGACATCACGTAATTTTTTATTATGTTATGATTCATAAAAAGAATTAAGAAATAGCATTTGTTCTTGTGCGTTTCGATGGCAAGAGAACAGAAATGTTGTCAGGCTAGAACTCCCTTTGGCATTTCAAAGTGTAGTATTAGAATGTTACAACCTTAGGTCAGATCACACAACTGTCAGATGGATTAAATACAAAATTTCTCATTTCTAAATTAGTGGTTAGAATTGCGCTTAAAGCTACCCAAAATTCCTTCTTTCATGTCAGGCACACTAAAACTGCCCACAGTGACAACCATTTTGACAACCAGTATCACAGAGGTTCTTCTCCATTAGAGTTTGACAAGATTGCCATCCAATATGTGGGAATATGTACCAGGTAACCAGCATACCCAGTCAGCCAGGGAGTTGGAGCTGAAGTGGTATGCCTCCAAGAAAAAAAACAGATGACTGCAAGGAAGGACATTTGAAATACCACTGTGGTTATACAAAATAGTACTGGGTAAAAAAAATGAAGCTATTTATAGCATTCAGCAGAGATTTCATTTTGTTATTGAAAGACATTCCAAGTATATTGAATTGTAAAGAGTTCTACAAAACCTAGATGTGCATTTGTGATTAACAGCTCCCTATATAGTAAACCAACTTAATTAACATTTATACTTAGAACTTAAAGTAGCAAAGTGGATATAGAATGTCTTCTGAAATTGAGACAATTTCAATGAAAATGACTTCAAAGTATATGTAGTTATAATGATATGTATGTTATAGAGGAAAGAAAGTGAATGCAAGTAATTGAAGGGCAGTGTTTGGGGTTGGTACTTCTTTACTTTGAAAAAACCACCTTCTAGATTGATCTAAAAGGCTCAATCAGGTACTTCAGCCACAGGTCAGATCCAGTATTAGAAATAAATTGAGATTTTAAGCAACAGCAAAAGCACTTCCATTCAGTTCCCTTTGCCGGATCTATTTAATGGCAGCTGCTGTGTCAAAGGGCAGAGCTGAACCTGTATTATCTAGAGTCATCTTTGTTGCAATTTCAGCTTCCACTACTAAGCTGCATACAAGGAGTTTAGCTGCTCAAAAAGATGGACGCAGTTAGACACGATAAACAAAGGTAGAAAAAGTTAAAAAGAATTGTCATGCTGGGTAAATAATAGTAAATTCTCTATTTAGCAGCTCTCACTGGTCTATAAAATCATGTTTGCAAGGAAAGGAAGAAGGACGTACTATGGTGTAACTCTTGTCTCTTCCCCAGGTTGGCCCTAACAATGTTCATGTGGCTCTTTCCCTGGTTGACTACAAACCAGAACTTCAGAAAGCCATGGAATTTGTTTTTGGAACAACGTTTGTTTGTGACAATATGGATAATGCCAAAAAAGTGGCCTTTGATAAAAGGATAATGACTAGAACTGTAACTCTAGAGGGTGATGTATTTGATCCCCACGGGACCTTGAGTGGAGGTAAACTTTATATTCTTTTTATTATCTTGTGCTTGCAGTTCTGGGTGGTAAATAGAATGGATGCATAAGATGTGTTTTTTGTTGTTGTTGTTTATTTTTTTAAAAAAGGGCACATTGGGGTTAAATTAGTTAACACAGTTACATTCCTAGTTTTTTTGGTCAGGACCAGGACCAGAGTCCAGGTTTTGTGAATCTTTTGTGTAATTCTTTGTATAAGAGACCATACTATATTTACAGTACTTAAAGACAAATTTCTAAAGCCTTAGTGTCAATCTGAGAATTGAGTTTAGTGTTTGAATATGTAGTTAATACTACTGACAAATAACACAGTGACTTAGCCCTCCTGGAGCTCATAATCTGTTTATCTCAAGTTAGTCTATTCCCATTTATTTAATCTCCCTTGCTTTTTGCCCTATCAGGATATTCTAGAAACTGGGAAGCAAAGTTTAATTATTCAGTGTTTAGCCTAACTGCTCATTGTTCCTTCAGGAAACATTAGCCTCCAATTTGTATACTTTCTATTGCTGCTGCTGCTCCTGTCAAAAATAAAACAAAAATGAAATCTGTCTTTGAGATGTGCCTTAAGAAAGGAATTGTTAGATAATGACCATATTCTTTTAATACTTGTGACATTGAGATTCTAGATCTGTGTTGTGATAATGTAATAACAAACACTGAACAATACTTAGTTTATACCAGGCAGTATTCTAAGATTATGCTGTCTAATATTGTAGCCACTATCTGCATGTGGCTCTTTAAATTTAACTTAATAAAAATTAAATAAAAATGAAAAATCCCTCAGGGCATTAACCATATAGGCTGCTAACCAGAAGGTCAGTGGTTTGAACCCACTGGCTGCTCCATGGGAGGAAGATGGGGCAGTCTGCTACCATAAAGATGCATTGCCTTGGAAGCCCTATGGGGCAGTCCTACTCTGTCCTATAGGGTCACTGCATTGGAATTGATGTGATGGCAGTGGGTATAGGTTGGTTTAATAATCACAAATGGTTAATAAGTAATTGGACAATGAAGAACATTATCATTCTATGAAACCCTGTCCTAAAGCCTTTACATAATTAACTCATGTAATACTTAACCCTGGGATGTAGGCCAATTACCCCCACTCCTCACTTAGCAACTATCTTGTTATCTGAGATTTTGCATTTATGACAGTAGTAAAAAGTCTGCTCTCTGACTACTTTGTGTATTAACAACATGTCTGGCAATAATGAATGTCAAGGTATGAGGCCAGAGTAATGCCAGCTGTGATGATTATGTGTCAACTTAGCTGGGCCATGAGTCTCAGTGGTTTGGCAATGATATAATGATGTAATTTGACAGTTGTATAATGATTTTGTGATCTGATGTGGTCATCCTGCATTTTTGCATAACACCAATTTTTGCGTAATGACCTTGTCTCTGGAACCTAACCGTGTTGATATGTAAGACATAAGTATACTGTTTTCCTTGATAACAGTTGATAAACTAAGGTGCACAATGGTTAAACAGCCTGCTAGTAAGTGGCCGAGCTCTGAATTTAAATCAGGCAGGCTGGTTTCAGAGTTTATGCTCAACCAGTAAATTCTATGTTGCCCCTTGAGATAACAAATGACATGATGTATTTCTAGACCAAGAACACAAACAAATAAATGCTGTGATCAAGTGTCAAGTTCCCCAGTATGTAATAAGTTGACAAACCAAAAAATCCAAACTCACTGATGTTGAGTCAGTTTGACTCATAGCGACCCCTCCTTTGTTTTCCAAGGCAGTGTCTCTATGGAACCAGTATCTCTACATTGCCCAACCATCCTTCCAAGGAATAGCTGGTGGGTTTGAACTACCAGCCTTCTGGTTAGCAGTCAGTGCCTTAGGCACTACGTCACCAGACTAATACCTAGAATTGGAGGATTAGAGCCCAAATATATTTAAACACCTAAACAGAAGAACCTTTCTAAATTTCATTGATTTGGATGCTCTTGGAAGTTTTTATTTAAGGATAACAAACATGTGACTTGGTATCATATTAACCCAGTGCTTCTAATAGCATTGCTGGTTGACCTTGGCATTCTCCCACCAAACCTATAGTTCTTACCAACCTAGTCCTGCAGCCTGCCACTGCCAGGTGACTATAATTGTTTATAAAATGAAACCAATTTACTCTCTTTGCTCTTCTATGTCAGAGTATAGGCCAGGTTATGATGTACTAACAAACAGCCTCCAAATCTCAGTGTCTTACACAACTCGGTCAGTTGCCTCTGCTTCATATTCTCATTTTGTGACCCAAGTTGAATGTGAAGTCCCTGTCTTGAACATGCTTTTCTCATGGCAAAGGAAAAGGAGATGGTCAAGTACATACTGCTTGTAACACTTATTTTCAGAAGGGACCCATTTTGTATGTCATTGGCCAGAGCAAGTTACATGACCAAGTCTCCTGTCAGTGGAGAGGAGAATGAGCCTGGAAGTGCTAGTGAATACTTTGAATAAATAGTCTGCTTAGAAGTATTTGTCAGTAATGAATGTCATCAGGCCCAGATAATGATATAATCTTTGGTTTCATAAGCTAAATGTAAAATATTTTTTGTTGACTATTTCAAGCGTAATTCTTCTAGAAACATGCTCTGTTGCTTGCTATATATGTGGTAACTTAACACTCAAGGTCTGTTTCAACTTGCCTCTGTCAGGTGCTCGATCCCAGGCAGCTTCTATTTTAACCAAATTCCAGGAACTCAAAGATGTACAAGAGGTGCTAAAAATTAAGGAGCGAGAGCTACAGGCTCTGGAAGAGGAATTAGCGGGTCTTAAAAATGTTGCTGAAAAGTAAGAGTCTATTAGATTAAACTAATCCCCCTCTTTGGTTAGTGATTTGCATGGTAGAAAATGAAAGAAACTTTACTTTGATGTAAAAATGTACAGCTTCTAGTTATTAAAAAATTGTCCTTGGTTCTACTTAAAATGTGTAAATGAATTGTGACTTGATAACTTGTTGTCAGTTATTTTTCTGATTATAAGGAATTGGGGAAGCCTAATTAAACAATAAAAGCCAAGTGTTCAGCTCCTTGTGCTAAGATAGATACTGTTAACTGTTTGCTAAGGTTGATAGGAAACACCTTAGATACTCTGGAGGCTTATCCAGAGGATACATGATGGTTGGGTTCTTTAGTGCTTGTATATCAGAAATAGCACAAATGGGTGGCTTTAACAAACAGAGATTTATTCTCTTACAGTTTCAGAGGCTGGAAATCTGAGTTCAGAGTTCCAGCTCTAGGGGCTTGACCTTGGACTTCAGCTCTGCCTCTTGCTCCTGGCCCACTGTAGCTGGAGGCATCTTTTAACTCAGGCAGCTGCTGGCTGCTGAGGCTGACAAACCCAAGGTTGACAAGTAAAAATGCATAGTCCCAAGATCAGTAGGCAACACAGCAGACCACTGGTTCAAGGCTAGAAGCAGCTCCAAGATCAGCAGACAACATGGAAGGCCACTGATAACTCTGCCAAATGCAGGTTCCAGATTTGCCAAGAAGCTCGAGACCTTTCTCAAAGCTTCTTCATATAGACTGGAGGCAGGCCATACCCCGAAGGCAGCTGTCAAAGCTTCTTCATATAGACTGGAGGCAGGC